GCAACATCAGCTAGGGCTTTATACTCAGCTTCAGTCGACGAATGAGCCACTGTGCATTGCTTCCTCGAGAGCCATGAGATGAGATTAGCCCCCTAGAAACACTGCGTATCCACAAGTGCTCTTCCTGTCCAGCGGACAGCCTGCCAAAATGAGTCAGAGTAAGCATGAAAAGCAGAAGACTCACCACCGTGAGCTGCAAGCCGTAGTCAAGAGTACCCTTGATGTAGCGAAGTTCCCTCTTAGCCAATGCCCAGTGGTCAGCTGTTGGCGAGTGCATAAACTGACATAGCGATTGATGGTGTAGGATAAGTCTGGCCGAGTGATGGTTAAGTACTGAAGCGCCCCTACCACACGACGATATTGAGTCGGGTTGTCATGTGCGTTAGTTGTACATGAGGCAGAATGAGAAACCGCAGCTGGGGTAGCTAGTGGTTTGCAGTCAGTCATGCCCGCTCGGGCCAAAATATCTTTCATATACCTGCGTTGGGAACCATGAGCCATGTGTCAGTCTTAACGGTCTCAATGCCGAGAAAGAACTCGGGTGTTCCAAGATCTCGGATTTTGAAAGTCAATGAAAGCCGATGCAGGAGTGATTTAATGAGTGACGGGTCATTTCCCATCATAATAATATCGTCAACGTATACTAGTAAGTATACCCGTGAGGCAGCAGAAGAGTAATGGAAGAGAGATACATCTGTCTTCGATGATAAAAAACTGCAGAGATTAAATAGTCATGCAATCTTTTGAACCATACCCGGGGGCTTGCTTGAGTCCATACAAAGATCGTTGTAAGTGACACACGTGATCCGGGTGTGTCGGGTCTTCATAACCCGGGACTGCTTCATATAGATCGTTTCCGCCAAGTGCCCATTTAAAAAGGCATTATGGACATCAAGTTGTCTCAGAGTCCAATTATGTGACACAGCTAGCGAAAAAAGGAGCCTGACTGTAGTCGCTTAACCACAGGGCTAAAAGTGTCGAAGAAGTCTTCACCAGCCACCTGATTGAACCCTTTGCTACTAGCCGAGCTTTGTACCGCTCAACTAAACCATCAGCGGTGCGTTTGGTACGAAACACCCACTTGCACCCGATGATGTTCACGTCTGGTCTGGGAGGTACAAGAGCCCAAGTATTGTTGTGCAACAGAGCGTTGAACTCCTGGTCCATCGCATCACACCACTCTGGGTGCCCAACTGCCTGTGAGTAGCAGGTGGGCTCAGTAATAGCACTGAGAGCTTGAAGCTCTTCCCCAGTTCCCCGAGTCATGTGACGTAGGCGCATAGTGTGACCACGATCTTGTGGCTCAGTCCTAGCTGCTCACTTTCTGCGAGTCACGGCCCTGACAGGCCCTTCAATAGCTAAGGGAGTTGACTCTTGCGCCAAAGGCATTGGACTCAGCGGCCTTTGTAAACCGGAGTCAATTATGTCCGTGGGGGATGAGTGAGTTATGACTGGAGCAGCAGCCCAAGGTGGAGCGACAGAGACGATTGAATCTGCATTTGTAGCTGTTAATTCTGAAAAAGGGAAAACAGTCTCATCAAACCGTACATGACGACAGATATAGACTTTCCCACTTGTTAAATCCATGCACCTATACCCCCTAAAGGAAGGTGGATAACCTAGGAAGACACAGGGCGCCGAGCGAAAATCCATCTTATGCGGTTGTAGGGCCTAAGATAGGGGTAGCAACGGCACCCGAAGACGTGGAGGAAAGTGTATGGTGGCTTGGTTTTGTAGAGACGAGTGTATGGGCTTTCAAATTTTAAGACTGTAGTGGGTAAATAATTTATTAGAGTTTTCGCTGTTTCAAAAGCATAGTCCCAGTATTGTTACGGGACACAGCCTTCGGCTAACAAAGCTAGTCCTGTTTCGACTATGTGGCGATTTTTACGTTCAACTCTGCCATTTTGTTCGTGCGTATACGCACATGATTGGCGTGAATAATGCCTAATTTTTCGAATGTATGATGTAACTTGCGGTATTCTCCGCCTAAGTCAGACTGAACAGATTTGATAGAACGTGAAAACTGGCGTTCTACCATGACTCGAAACAACTCGAAACTTTTATATATATCAAATTTTATCCGTAGGGGATAAAACCAACAAAATCGAGAATAATCGTCTACGAAAAGTAGGAATAGCGAAATCCACTAGTAGAGATTACAGGAGCCGGACCCATATGTCCGTATAAATTAAATCTAATACATTACTACTAGATAATGAAACTCTATCTAGAGGAAATCTTGATGACTTGCCAAGTTGACATGAAGTGCACAACCCGCCTGGTATGGTTTAATTAGGTGTAACTGGACACAGTTTTAGGACTTGATTCTGAACATGCGCATGGGGATGGCCCAACCTGCGGTGTCAGAGAACCGGAGTAGCACGGGATGTGAGAAAAGCAAACTGAGACTGTGAAACTGGGAGCTTGTATAGACCGCCCGCTGTGAAACCCCTAAGCAGAACCGCCCGAGTGGCCGAATCCTTCACAATGAAACAATCCTTGTGAAATTCAACAAAAACACGATTATCATTCGTTAAACGATAAACAGATAATAACGGGACGGAAAGTTTAGGAACATATAAGACATTGGTTAGATTTAGTGTTTTAGAAAAGACGATATAGAAGCATGGCCAACTCGTGAGATCGTCAAACATGCGCCATTACCAACGCGCAGCACATCACCACCCGTATATTCATTAGACTGTGTCATCATAGATGCGTCCGGCATGGCATGGCAGTGGACCCCGTATCCGGGAACCAACCTGAAGCAGCCGCACTCACGTCCTCTTCTCCTCGAACAACGAGATTAGCATGTGCCGGCTGCTGCGGGGCATAACGTTTGTAACAATAAACCGCCGTGTGCCCTTGTGCCCGGCAAATTTCACAGCGAGGAGCGCCGCCGCGGCCACCATTCCGACCGCCCCTGCCGCCTCTGCGTGACCGCACTACCGCGACCTCCATTGCCGCGACCAGAATTGTGGTTTCCAGAATTCCCACTACCGCGCCCGTCGTTTCTACCTCTGCCAGCATAAAAGGCAGTCGGTGCTGCGTGGTCAGAACTTGCAGGAAAATCATCTGCGTGGAGGAACTCCTGGGCGCGCAGATAATCCGCAATTTGCGGAATTGTGACAGTCGTTCCCAACACCGTGAGCGATGAAGCCATCGCCCGGTATTCCGGACGTAAACCCCGAAGGACAAACATATTTTGTTCATCCAACGAGATAGGACGACCGGCGTGCGCGAGGTCCTCGACCAACAATTGGGCGCGGCCTAAATATTCTGTCATACTGCTACCACCTTGTCGCAGTCAGTGAAATTGGCCTAGGAGTCCTAGTGTTCGTGCGCGGGTAGAGCTGCCGAGTCCGGCATTGATCGCCTCCCAGACATCTTTGGAGGTGGATTTGCCGACCGCCAAATGCATCACCTCATCCGAGAGGGATGAGATGAGAAGGGAAAGCAGCGTCTGATCTTGTTTGATCCACGCCTTATACGCCGGATTTGGGACCGGAGCAGAGGTTGACACCGTGGATTGACCGGTGGCCGGAGGAGCGTCTATCATTGCGGGAGGACATGGGTTTTCACCATCGACAAATCCCATGAGCTCATGACCACGTAAAAAGGGAACCAATTGGGTTCTCCAAAATAAAAAGTTTCGATACGTGAGTTTTATCGAAACAAAGTGATGGGCACTGTTTAGGGAGTTTTGGCTTGAGGCCGGAGAGGGGGTTCCACCGGCGGTTATGGTACGCTCGGAAGAATTGGTGGACATATCGACGGTGAGTCGATTGTTTTGGGGAGAGGATCGACCGAGGGTGGTGAGAGGAGAGAGAAAATAAAATTCCCTGGTCTGACTGATACCAGATGAGATAATCAGTTTAGCATTCAACGTTAACAATGATAAGGATTACAATACTAATAGCATAACAACTCTAAGTAATCCCTATCAACTAGGAAGACTAAAAGCGTATTACAAAGACTAGTCAACATAATAACAATAACAGTAAACTATTAATAATAATAACAATAATATTGCTAACTTGCTAACACCAGCGCTTTTGTCGCGACCACAAAAAGTTTCCCCGAGGTTAAAACACGAAGCTTCGTGCCGGGGTCGGTTGGTTTGTACACATCGTTCCCACTAGTGTGGCTCGGCTATAGGCCTTTGCAAGATAAGAGGTGAATACCAATTTTGGATTGCATGCTTGATGAATGGTGTGAGAGGGTATCCATTTTTTAGTTTTCATCCTATCTTTTAGGAGTATGGGGCTTCCTTAGTATATTTTTTGAGTAGATTTAGTAAGGGTGCATGACTAGCATATTTATTACATGATATGAGGGACTTCACCCCCTTCGTTTGCGTGACATTTATCTTGATCGACCTTTGGACGAATTAAGTTATCATTGAGTTGGGGTTAGGTGTATCTTTGACACTTAAGTGATCATTGGTTTGATTGAAACTTGCTTGAGGGAAAGCAAGGCTAAAGTGTGGAAACTTGTGATAAGTGTCAAAGACACACATTTTTTGGACGGAATAAGTTCCCAAACAACGTGCGTTGTCCGAGGCATTGAAGGCTGCGTGGAAGAGCTGCGGAAGGGATTGAAAGGGGGGCAATTTAAGAAATTCTAGATCAGATTTAGAGAAGACATTTGGTAGGTTTTTAGAGTACTTTGATAGCTTAGCATTTTGAGATTGAAGAGAGAGCAATTTGTAGAGAGATCTTAGTAGATTCAAGCTTGGATTTCTTGGGAAATTCATTGAAGGAAGAGATTGACAAACTCCAAATTCAAGAGATCTTGCAAGACTTCTTTTATTTCCTAATCTACTTATTTGGTATTATCTTACTCTTTTCATTTCTATTTGCTCGGTTAGGTTTACATTTATGAATGCTTTTATGATTTCTATGGCTATTGTAGGCTAGCTTAGCTAGGGTTTGAATTGTGAAAGTGTGTGATGATGATGCTTTTGTGACTTAGTTCTTGAATTAGGGATTGATTGATTGCAATGCTTCTATGTCTTGTTGCTGGGGATTGATTTGTTTGCATCAGAGGAACTTGATCACCTCAAGAGTTGCCGTACCAAGAGTTTCAACAAGATTGTCAATCACTTGACCAAATAATTGAGATGAAGTCCAAAGAGACCAAGGTAATGCAATTGTGCTTGAAATATCTGGAGTTACAAGATCACATGAAGGCTCAACTTGATCGGATGAATGCTCGACTCGATCACATGATGGCTCGACAGCAAGATTTGACAATTCAAGAGCCACTTCAAGATTCATTTAATGGAGAGGTTCTAGAAGAGTTGCTCTTGCCAAATGAAGGTCATGAAGTTGAGAGAAATAAAAAGGATGATGAGGATCTTAGAAAGGAAGATGAAGAAAAATTTGATAAAGGCATTGAGATGGAGACACCAAGCTGGGAGGAAAATGTAGAGTTGCAAGGTAATGATGGCAAGGAACATATAGAGAGTTGCCCATTAGATGAGGAAGTTCTTAATGGAGCACATGATTTGAATGAGGATGTCTCACCAATGGAGAACACTTCCCTTGGAGAGAACTTCAGAGAAATTTTGAATTTGGGAGGCATTGGAGTTCTTAAGGATAATGGCACACATTTGCCTATCTATATATCCAATGATTCCCAATACTTGCTGGTTCATGTGAATGATCCGAGACTCTCATTACTTGTTGAACAAAAGAGTGTTGAAAAAGAAGGAAAAGAGAATGGAGGCATAATTCTTGATTCGGGCAAATGTGGTTCCTTACATGATGACGTGAAGGGT